TATTAATTGGAAGTGAAAATTATACTATACCACATTAACATCATGTGGTATACCACATTACCTTCACTTTTTTCAAAATCACTTTTAATGGAATTTTAAATATTTTCTCAAATATCTCTTAAATTGATAGAATAATTTTATTTTCAAATTGATACATGGAAAGACAACACATGTAGCATGTTTGCACATAACATTTCAATTTAATCGGATAAAAAATAAAAATTTGGCAATCTAAAAACAAATGGGTATACCACATTTGCATCACTTCCTATATAATTTGCAGCTTTTTGACGATAGAAATTACACTTTGTTGATATTATAATTGTCGTATTGCACTTTTATTGGCATCCGGTAGTAAATAATATGAAAATTGATTTATTTCGAAGAGTTACTTTGACGTAAGTAGTATAAAAATTGATGTATTCCGAATAGTTTATGTTGCTCTGTTCTGTTACATTTTTTTTGCATTTTATTTATTAATTCTTATGAACAAAAACCAATGTTTCATGTTTTATTGTTTATATTTAATTGTGGATTTTTTTTTGTCTCAAACACACATACACATTGATAAAAAAAATCATTTAACAATAAAAATTTCGTTTGTCCTTGTTTTTCTTCAACAACTATAACAAAATGTTTAATTTACCTGGAATTAACACTTCCAATATTATTTAATCCATTTAATTTGTTTTCCAGGCAGAAAATGAATTTGGGTTTTAAACGAACCATTAGATTGTGTCCGTCCAATCAATATAATTTCACCAATGTATAAAAGTAATTTTTGCAGCCATAGAATTAGAATGCGAACGATCGACCGAATCGTTTGAAATCAATATTGCAACTATGAAAATAGAAAATCATCCGTTTCGTTCGAAGTGGCCAAAAGAAAGGTGGTATCTTCTAGAGATGCGGCGGCCAGCAATCAACATTCACTGCCAATGTTGCTCCAGTAGAACAAGTTGGCTCTTTGGCTTTTCTTGTTTCCATTTCCATGTTCAATTTCGATTCGACAACCTGCTTAGAGCCACCACACAATGTACCACATTCATCCCCAGGCAAAGTTGGTGTTGTTGCGAGCAAAAGAATTTTTGCAGTTGGCCTAGTCAGTGGCCAACCACATTCAACCGTTCCACTGTTATTGAGGTTAGTAAAGACAAAGGAGTCATTTCAAAACTGATATGGATTTTTGCGATTCTGTTTTACTTCTTCTCTTCTTCGCAATTAATCAGCAAAAATGAGCATAGATGGAAGCTGGGCACAAGAACACACATACGCACACATATGTGCATATGTATGTTGTAGATCTGTGTCTGGACTTGGATAATTAGAAATTCAAAATAGACAACATAATAGCAGGAATAGTAATTGTATTTTTGTGCAGTGAATGTGAATGTTGCAATGGCGTTTGGTCTCTGTCGCCGACATTTTCTGCTGTCGCAATCGGTATAAATTTACGACAGTGATCTAACGATAAATTGCATAAAATGAAAGAATTACAAATAAATTCATTGTCCCAGTCGACATTTTAAAGTTAATTTACGAAATCTTTGTTTGAGTTGATGTTCTGCTTGCATTGCGTTTTCCTCTTGAAAATTCTAGTCTAGTTCCTAGTGTGTTTTGCACGAAACTGGAAAATGCAAATGGTGTTGTTGTTTTTGTTGCGTTTGTGCAGCGTTGTCCACCTTGACTCGATTTGTTAACTCATTTTTTTGTTTTGATTTTCCTGTTTTGATTGACCCACTTCTGATTTCGTTATGGCCATTGTACAGTAAGTCGTCGCCTAGAATTGGGTTTCAAACGGTAGCATTGTGGCCGAGTAATTGGTGTTGTGCTAATTTGAGTGTTGAAAACTTCTAATAAATTTGTGTCTTTTTTGTCGAATATAACATTTTGGAGAAATAAATTTCCACTTTCCTTCATTTATTTTAAAAATTAGAAAAATGATTATTTTGAAATTTGTTGTCCGGCAAAATTATTTTTATCCTTTATAATGAGAAAATCATAACACAAACAATACTGTTATATGAACGTTCACACTATTCAGCCAAATGGGGTTCATGGTCTTAGCGAGTATGTTATGAACCCAGAAGGACAAATTATGCCTCGATGAATTTTCTATATTCTAGGTTTGCGACTATTGCAGGTTATTTTTGAGACACACGATTTCAGTCAAATCTAATGAAGAATATTTTTGTAAATCATATCCCTCTTCTATCTCGAGTCCTTTACGTCGTTTTCGTCTTTGTTTGTTTGAACAGTAAACTGAATACCGCAAGAAAAAAATTTTGACCTCTAAAAATTGTTTGATCTAGGCTTTGTAAAGATAATGAATGGACTGTGCAAAGTTTGGTTCAAATCGGACATTGATTCAAATCGGACATTGCCTAATATGGAATTTATAAATATTGGAAATGGATGGAGTGGACCAATGGGTCCGGTCTTTGGACTTCATCAATGCTTGGTAAAGGTAATTACTTTACTTAGCTGGCTTGTGACAGAACATTTGTTCTATAAGCCGAGCTTAAAAACTAAGTACCGGAAACAAAATTTTTGATCTGTAATTTTTTTTTTGATCTAGGCTTTGTAAAGATAATGAATTGTGCAAAGTTTGGTTCAAATTGGACATTGATTTCGCCTAATATGGAATTTATAAATATTGGAAATGGATGGAGTGGACCAATGAGTCCGGTCATTGGACTTCATCTACGTTTGGTAAAGGTAATTACTTCGCTGGCTTGTGACAGAACATTTGTTCCATAAGACGAGCTTAAAAAAAATTTCCAGGCGCGTCGGTCTTGCGCGCAGCTACTTTTTTGTCTCAAACACTCCAAGAACTGACTCAACAGCTTGCGTAAATACCATGCTTCACAACCATATAATGCACGGATAGTATCAGCGTCTTGTAGAGTTTGGTCTGGCGGTAGGTGGCCTTGTTTCTAAACTGCTTACTTAAACCGTAATAGCATCTGTTGGTCAACACCATCCTTCTCTTAATTTCAAAAATTATACCATTAGTTTTATTTATGGCGATACCAAGGTATATAAAATCTTTGACTACTCGAAACTCGAGCCAGCCCGACTTTGGCAGACTCCTTTTTAACTTGTTCAAAGATGCCTGTTGCCGCTCGCAATGTTTGACCCATTATATCGATGTCATCGGGGTAGGCGAGTAACATGTATTGTTTGATGTACAGAGTACCATTTCTGGGGCCAAAAATATTTTCTCTTCCGATTTTTTGCATTCCCTTTCCATCGCATCTATAAGGCATTAATATCGCCTTGTACATACATCTTGAGTACATTCGTCAAAGCGAAAACTGCGCCTGTTCTGTACAACGTGCTGACATTCCAAGTGCAGATTCACAGATCGTGGTCCTTTATACGTTCGTCAACATTAGGGGGTTTAGATTTCTTTTTCGTTGCTTTTTCATAATAGAAGTTATTTATTTTTAAATATTACAAATTTTGATCATATGTAGGGGAGGTGTCAGAAGTAGTGAACCAATGGGTTCCATCTTCGGACTTTAACTAGGCTTGGTAAAGATAATATGTTGTGCAAGCTTTGATTCAAATCGAACATTCCATTCGCCTGAAATTGGATTTATAAATATAGAAAATTCTTTGTCGATCGGAATATTAATAATAGAGCTCTAAAATTCTACACAGACATTGCTAGTACTTCTAGCATGTTTGGTATTCCAAATGAGAATATCGGTCCACGCTTTGGTATAACACCCATATAACCGAATCCCATTTTTACGATGAATAGTTTGCGAAATTGAACGACATAACAAATATAAAATAGAAATAATTCTATATCAATTTTAAATGTGTTTATTATTTACTTACATTTAACATTTATTAAAATAATAACAATAAAATTTATTCCTCTTGTATTTTATTTAAAAATATATCATCAAGCGTTACTCACTGCACACTTTTTTTAAGCAGCTGCTGTTGCTGGTAAGAATTTTGCACCGTCACATCCCATCTATTATATCAGACAATTTCCTTTGATTATCCAATGGCTTAAGACTTGAGTGCGACTTTCAAAATTCAAAGTTTAAACATCGATAGGCTTTGCCACATTGTACGCATAGATAGGCATACAAACCCAAGCGTGTATACACATATACATATGTACTCGTATGTGTCGATGCTGCAGATGTTGTTGCCATTAACCCAAAAACCAGAAAACAGGAATCGACGTTGTTGGAAACCACTTTAGACTAAAGTTCAAATGCGTTCAATTTTTTATCTGCAGGCAAACGCGACGCGAATGAACAGTCTGTATCTCTGCGGCAGCTGGAAATTGGGGACATGAGCCACATACTTGTCTGTGAAAATGTGGGACATTTGAAAATATTTTTGGTTACTTTTCCCTGTCTGTTAGATTTTAAAGGATACGCAAATATAAACTTTCATTGCCCCATTTTGTGGCAAATAGGCAACATTATAATTTTATTTATTTATTTTTTTTTTTGGTTTTATACTGGTTCCTGTTCCTTTTGCTGAAACGCCTTTGAAAGAAGCTCAAGACCATATTTTGCATTTATGTTAAGGCCTTCATTGATTTTGACATAAATCATCTGTCAATTATAGAATAACCACCCCCGCTACTTAACTTTATTATTTACCGCTACTGCTCGTGGGATGTAATTCAATTATTGATGTCGGTGCTTTGGTAGCTCGGTTTTCACAAGCCAATAACACTTGACAGGAATAACTAAACAGTTAACCTAGGCTACATTGAGGACTATAAAAACTCCAGGATGCAACAGGACATCATGGCATTCATTGTTCTGCATTCGAAACAACCACAACCACAACGAGAACACAACACAATGTATCACAAGCGTTCAACATTCCAAGCAATGATATTCCTCACCTTTGCCATCTTTTGCATCTTCTGGCTGCCGGCAATTTCGGCTAGGAATCTGGAGTCTGCCAAGAACGAGGTGCACGATGGAACATTTTCCAAAAATAACAACCAACAACTAAACATGCCTGGTCCATCCGGATACTATGCTGCCAAACGTAACTTGCGAACATTGCTGATGGGTCCCAAGGATTATCAGGTGAAAACACATGGAAAGGTTGCATCAAATATGGATCTGGTGGATCTATTATTGGAATATGAAGATGACGATCGCAACAAGAGATTTGATGACTATGGCCACATGAGATTTGGCAAACGCGGTGGTGAGGAACAGTTCGATGACTATGGTCACATGCGTTTTGGAAGAAGTGTCTAAGCAAACAATCAACTATCACAGCTAAAAGGACTTAATGCGAATGTGTTTAATTATTGGGGTCTTTAGAATACAACTGACGAATCAATTGGAGATTCGAAATTAATTTAAAATGCTTTTGGTTTTGAGAAAATTGTAAATAAATTCAAATATTTCAGTGTACAACATGCAAATTTCGTTTTTGTTTTATATACAGTTAAGGGTAAGTATTTTGTGAGAATCAGTAGCGAAAGGTTTTAAAATCGGTACTAAGTATATTTTATATATGGTAAGGAAATTATTAATAGGTTCATATCTTAGTAGACAAATACTTTCGGCACAGAATAAAATGGTGTCTTCATTACAATATGCGTCTACATCAAATACGTCCAATATATCCTCCTCAAAAATTCTAACATGGATTTTCATAGAAAACTTTTTGTTTTTTTTTTTTTGTAAGAGAGATTAATTTCGTCTTCAAATTTTGCTTTCTTTATTTTATCTGATTGTTTTAAGATAAAATACGAAATTTCTAAATCCCTGCAAAATTTCGAGATTTTTTGCTTTACTGCTTCTCTACATACTTACACTTTTTATATTATATGTTTTCAGTTTGAATTTCTAAAATCACATGCTTATATCAAGCCAAGAGCAATTCCCTTCCATATTTCAATATTTATGCCTTCACCAACTTGTAATAAGTTTTGTATTATTTTTTAAACCCTCGTCCAATGCAATGTTTTCAAACTAAATAACAGAAATAACGCCATTTACAGTATTACACTATTTAACATAAATATATCTATCCAATAAATGTAAATTGTGCGTCAAGTTCAATTGAATATCAACGAAAACCCTAAAATATGCTTCAATAACTCAACTATTATATACAGCTAGTTGTTAGCATACTTTTTGGCGTGAAATGTTAAATGCTTCCGGAAAAAAAAATGAGAACGAGTAAACAGAAGTTGACTCGCCGAATATTGTAATGCAGGATTTCAAATATAGATGGCCAGTAATGAATAATTCATTTTATTTCGAATCCATAAAGCATATACACCTAAGTCTGTTTTTACACGTTGTTTTTGTATAAGGTTTTGATATAACACGGTTTGAAAATTGAATATTTTTAATTTTTCTAGCACGATTTGAAATTTTGTGTACTTAATTTTTTTTTGTCAAATTCAATTGCGAAGTATGTTCATATCACAAAAAGTATTTATGAAAGAAAAAAGTCTGAAACCATCGATAGTTTGCGAACACTAGCTTAAAGATTTAAGTGGGGAATTCACTTAAATCTTTAAGCTCTTAATTTAATCTTTTTCTTAATCTTTTAGCGCGTACAAACCATTTTTACTGGTCAAGGCAAATGTGAATAACCCTAATTTAGGGGAATTCCCTTTATGTATAAGATCAATGTATTTTTTACACGGCTTCTTCTGGAACCAATCTACCGTGTAAAAACAGACTTAGGTGTAATTGTTTTTTTTCATAATTAAAAATTGTTACTTCAATTGATTAAAAACTAGCTGACCCCGGCAAACGATGTCTTGCCTTAGCAATATTGTCGGTGGATAAAAGGGTGTTAATAATTGAATTTGTGAAAAATAAATTTAAGTTCAACAATTTGATGCAAGTGGTGCACCAAATATGCTGTATTTTTTTGATTTACAGAAAAAAGAAATAAAAAATTGTACAAGGAATCTCTTTCACCCTTTTATACAAAATAACTGCCAATGTCAATGAAATACGAGGAAATCTCTCGAAATAATTGAAATTAAAAGTTACATGTGAATGCGGTTACATTTCTTTTTTGTTAATCCGACAAATGTAGGAATTTATATTCTTCGCTTCAAAATTAAAATCTTTATATTGGAAGAAAGACATTGAAACGTGCATTACTAATTCACGTTCATGTTTCAGTTATCATTCATGTTTTAGTATAGCGATAAAATCACGGCGGGAAAACCCGATCAAGATATGTATGTCCGTCCGACCGTCGATAATAAGTTGTAATAAAAGATGTTAGATCTGTTGATTCATTTGGATTAATATGATTAAAATTATGTAAAACCACATTTACGCAGAAATAAAAAACCTTAATGCTTCAATAACATGACATCCCAGCTATAATTATATTTTTGCCAAAAATTTTCCTAATGTTTTCCTAAAAAAAAAAAAAAAAAAAAAAAAAAAAACAAAAAAGGAATTAATGACAATTTTGAAAATATTTTTTATTTTCGAATGTGTCTCTTTTTATAATAGTGTGTGCGAGAAATTTGACACACACCGACAGCATATGGGACCTATTTTGGGCACCGCTGCTTTCAAATTAATTGTACTAGGAATATACCAAAATGTAGTACGCGTCTATGCTGAATTTTTAACCTTCATTTACGATAGATTAGCACTATAGCATCTGTAACAGTATAAGATAAAAATTTGTTTGCAATTTCATAATACCAACAGGAATTAATATAAAAAAGTATTATGGAGTTAAAAATGGGCTTATCTAAAACATGAGGTCTTATCACCACCACCACATGTTGTGAAAATTAACACACCGCAGAGTTTACAATTAACCTTAATTATGTACTTCCTAAACATACGAGAGAAAACCTCGATCGATGCTGACCCAACTTCACGAGTACAGATCAGACGTTCTCTCTTTTTTGGGTTCACTTCCAACTTAGCTTCATCGGTTAACTCATATGTACAGCATCAGCATCAATAAGATCGGCTGGGTTGAAATAATACAAAACTTCAAGCGAAGCAACAGCCGCCGCCTATGACGACGACGAAGACAACCGGACAAGTGATCGTGTAGTCAATTTGCACACAGACTTTCTATGGTTGGTATTCATAAGTTTTGGTTAGTAGCGTTAAAAATTCATTGCTGACCAGATTGTCCGCATTCCATTCGTTCACAACAAAACACAACAAACCAACATCGAACCGTCGTGGCTGTAGTCGTCGTCAGTCACTTGTTCGGTTGACGGGAGTTGGGTACTTCTTGGATGCCAATAATCGACTGGCTAACAGCAACTGGCCTCGCTGACTGACTGACTCTCAACGACTGGGTCGGGGTATGGCTGGCTGGCTGGTGATTACTATAAAAGTCCAAATTAACAGCTATCCCACAAACAAATACAACACAATGTATGTATGATATTCTGTGTTCGTTCCAATGTACATCGACTAATATCTATGAATGGATGTTAGCCTGTGACAGCGACGATGTTGAAAAGGTGGAAAGAGAGTGAGGGTAAAAGAGGCGTAAAACTATTTGCTAGTTTATCAATAAGCAACCCAAAACAAAGCTTCAACCGCAAGATTCCTATGATGTAGGTACACAAATACGTATATATGCATGTATTTCTTCAATGTGAATATATATATCTATATTAAAACACACCCGATCCTCCTTATTTTTCCGCCTAAAGTTAACGCCAACAGGTTTATTACAGGTGATATTATTGCGCACTGTGGAATATTGTTCAAAATTAATTAAGTTTTTAATGTAACTTTCTGATAAAAACACAGAACCACAAGCTGGTATTAAAATCATTTGTAACTAAATCGCACATTTCGCGGTCTTAATGTCAAAAAGTATTCTATTTGATTCATTGAATGAGTGCATGTAGTCCTAAAATGGGGTCTGTAAGGGAACTTCTCTTGGTAGCAAATTATCTCAATTTTAAACCAGTGAGCGGAGCAGTATAGTCGGACGGGGCCGACCATACGATACCCTACACAACTACTGCGGAACTCAAATTTTCTGCGGATGTTTATTCCGTCCAGATTCCCTTCACCGTGGGTTGTGTTGTGATGTTCGGCTTTCATTTGTGGTCTATATATCGACTCGAAAATAACACAAAAAATTAAGGCGTTGTCCTTGATCATAATTGGAAGCTTATGGAACATTTCAAAGCGATCATCGCTATAGTTCTGCTCTCTAGAGTGATAATGGGTTACTAAATAATATACGAATACGGAGACACCTGTAAATATTTAGGTGTAACTCCCACATCCGAGCACATACAACAATATAATTGCTCTTAATTTAAAGGCCAACCACTCCTCTTGGATATAATATCAACTTCTCGGGTCTATGTCATTCAGGGGTAAATATATACGCTATAGAATACAAATTTTGTAATTTTTCACACAAAAGTCAGGGTCCATTTGACCCGCTAAATATTGACCAATCTTTATCAAAACAGGCATGCTTATTCTTTGGCCCGATCCCCTTCTCCACGCAAAAATTCACGATGTTCGGGCCATTATTGCGGCCTCTGGAGCGACCGGAAAAACCGACAAAAATTTAGTATTTGGTCCATTTCATCCCATAAATATTAACCGATCTTTCCCAAAAACAATGGGCCAGAACCCATCCTACATGCAAATTTCGTGAAGATTGGTCCATAACTGTGGCCTGTATTGTGTTTACAAATTATAATGGACAGACGGACGGACACACATGTCTAGATCGATTCAGCTAGTCGAGATATGACGATCGGTATACTTAAAGGTGGGTCTAGGACCAATATTTCGCGGCGTTACAAACATTTGGGGCTGCACAAAGCTATAATACCCTGACAACATAGTTGTGTAGGGTATAAAAACAAATTATGAATAATTTGTTCACCTTTACACTGATTCCGTACACCTCTGCAAACCAAAGCAAGCGAAAAAGGCAATAAGCTGGACGTTCGCTACCCTTCACTATAGATTTTCTGAATGTTATTTAAAAGTAAGATCCCAAATGATATTTGTGGGTATAACTTACGATGTAATATAAAAAGTGTCGAACTTTTTATAAATGTGATATAACAAATAAGTTGGTCGATACCAACAAGATAGTACAAAGATATATTATAAATACTTAATTGCAGACATTTTTGATGGCATATGTTCCATTTGAAATTTATTTCCGATGTAATGCATTATGGGAGGGATCCTTAAATAAGGAATATTGGAAAACGTGGACATTTTCAAGGTGATTTTGAAACATGCATAATTGG